GATGTGTGTCTGTGTCGGTGTCTATGTCTGTGCGTCTGTGTGGCTGTGTGTGTAAATGAGTGTCTGTATCTGTCCATGATATGTATATCTCTGCCATATTCATGGCATGCAGCGTATCGCCGTACCAATGCAATCTTTCCCTCTAGTACAACCCTAAAACCCTAAAAACAATAGTACTTCAATTGATCTGACATCATTGGATAAGCATACCATTTGCTTCAATTGATCCTATTATCCTAAAACCCCAACCCTAAACCCTGAAACTTAAGCCTCTACCACTAAACACAGAAAGATGAGGAAATCGAGAGTATGCATTCAGTCATATCGGAGAGTCGACTGCAGATCAACCAGTTACAGGACAAGCTCAATGATACTGAAGGAACGTGCCAAACCACCAATAGTATGTGCGTGTATATGAATATACCGTTAGTGTGTGTGTGTATATGTGCATATACTATTTTTGTGTGTGTATATATGTAAATATATCTGTAAGTATACACCATTATTGTGTGTGTATATATGCATATACTACTATTGTGTGTACATTTAGCTATTTACTATTATTGTGTGTGTGAAGATGCATATACTATTTTGTGTGTGTATATATGCATATACTATTATTGTGTCTACATATAGATATTTACTATCATTGTGTGTGTCTGTATGTATACATTATTATTGTGTGTGTGTATATGCATATGCTATTATTGTGTGTGTATATATGTATATACGTATAGTTATTTACTATTTTTGTATATGTATGTATGTATATATAGATATGTGTATGTGCCTTGTCGCCGAAGTGACGTGATGCCGTATTTGTACGATGCGTGCTTGAAAATGTTAAGATGCTCTTCAGTTTACGGACGGATATACTTCACAGATCTAATAATGTGGCCGATCTTATTGAGTGTGTATAATCAGCGGGTCGGTGTATATATCTCTTTTTGTGTGACATATGTGTGTGTGTGGATATAAGTAAATGTGCATATACGTATACGTGCATACAAGTAAATGTGTACGTGCATATAAGTAAATGTGCATATACGTATACGTGCTGTATACGTGCATGAATGAGAGACCTACTTCACCTGCCATAGAAGCCAAGCCAATACTGTCCGTTATAATACACCACAGTCCGCACCATTTACAAAACGTTTATACGTTTTAAATGAGAGACACACTTCAACTGTCACGTAAGGCAACCAATACCAATGACATACATGAACTGAACATTATATATCATCTATGACATACATGGTATAAACATTATATATCATCTATGACATACATGAACTAAACATTATTTAATATATACGTTAACTGTAAGGTAAGTCCATGCTGTCAGAGATTGAGGACGCGAGAGCGGAATTGGAGAGACAGTTGAAAGCAGTGACAGCCAAATACGCCGCACGTCGCAAAGTGCACGAAGCACTAAAGCAGCAGTACATGCGATTGCAGGTGTGAAT